AAGTTATAAATCAGACAACTAGGTAACGATAATACATCCAAATCCTTTTTACTTTTTTGGCAATCGAGTTATTTTTTTACAACTTGACTTATGCTGTTTGAATAAATAATAATGTGGTAGGTCACCAAAACGTTTAGTGGTAAAAGTACACCTTTTTTAAGTGTAGGAGAGCCAAGCTTCGACACTAATGAATCGGTTCCACCGAAGTGATACGGTAATGATAGGCCTAACAGAAAAGCGTTGTGTTTCGCCTTATTACATGAAAAATCGCAAACGTCTTTTTTTTTCTTCGGTATATAAAATGCGAGAAGTTATTTTAATAATGTCACAGATACATACTTCTCTCCAAAGAAAAAAATCTAGTACCAATGATACAAGTTAAACATCCTAACATGGTCTAGAAAAAAATACACTGGAGACGGTAAATGCACCAACATAATTATAATTACCTACACTATTCAACACTTAGCGGCCATTACCCACATCTGTCGCACCTTGTATTAAAAATTATTCACAACCTTCAGTGGAGCCGTGCACAAGTTGATCTTGACCGTCTCTTACTGAAAATGGTTACTTAGGGCTTATTCATATGGGATGCGAGAGCAAGTAAAGACAATGATTCACAATGCACCTAGACCCAGCTCGAAGTAGAAAGGAAAGAGAAAAAGATGTCAGTTGATGATTACATCCCACAAAAAGGGAACTTATAAATATCCGTTGCACTTTATTGATGGCAAATAGCATGCCAGACACCAATGTCTTGGCAATAGTGGCCAACACTTTGCAATTCTTCTTCAAAAATAAATACAAGATACGACCCATTTGAAAACTTAAATATAAACTTTAAGAGACTACGTAATATATGATAATTGATTATTTTAAGCTCTTATTTTCATGCTGAATGGCTGCGGTTGTTGACGTGTGTATCGCCAACAGTACAATATTTACATTAGCGTCCCGTTTTTTATGAGGAAAAATCATCCTTTCTCCTAGGAGTATTAGATTCTTACCGACCAAAAACCTTCTTTCTCCCGCTCTGAGCCGCGCCACAGTAAATTATTACCATCAACAAAATAAGGCTTATCTGGACGAACCCCTATTGTGGTACGTCAGGTAGACATTTGTGATGCAAATTGCATGCACAGCTGCAGTATGCATCGTGCATCACTAATATACATAGATATATATTTGTAAACGGGCTATTGGTCATATTTTATGCATTCTGTCCTCATGGTCCCTATGGTACGATTGTGAATAACTATTGTAGTTTACCATTGATTTGTAAACTAAGAAACATTAATTATTGTTCTTGTTTATTTTCCTGAGCACATTGTTTGCATGGCTAAACAATTTGTGCTAAATTGATATTAAATTATTTGAATAATTAAATGAATTTTACTACGAGTATGTAGACAAATTAATATTTAGTTTGACAAACACCTGTTCAATTGTTATTGATTCCTATTTTTTTTATAACATTTACACCAAAATTTATAGGTACCTACACACTTAAAATAATAACTATAAATAATGAAACTTCCAAATAACAAAATTAACAAAAAAAAAAACGAAACGTATCCCCAAAATCTACACAAATTATCCAACAGCAACAATAATTTCTAATCTACAAAGTACACTCATAGGATACAAAATAAACGACCTAATTTTAATACAGCCAAGCATTTTAATAGGCACTAAAACATTATTAACAAAATGGCGCCTTCACCGCGCTTACTTAAATGTCGCAATGGCTTATCAGACGAGTGTGTTCGTGCTCCAAATTGATGTAAATGGGACGGAAAGATTATCGCACAAGTTTTACTTTGTTATATTAATAATATACCTAGGTTAAGTAAAAGGAAAATGTCGTGTTTGTTCTAAACAGAAGCGATAAGAGAGCGTTTGTTTAATTTTAAGTGTGAGAAAGCCAAGCTGCAGCTCATGTGGATCGGCTCGACCGGTGTGAAATCACAGCCTTAAAGAATCAACCACAGCGTTGGTTCGTCGTGTGAGATTACCAGAGACTTAGTCCTACCCGTTCTACAATCGCTTCATAGATCTCCGAACCCTAATCTCCAAAACGACGCAACGCACTTATATGTATCCTCTAGTGTTCGAATGTACAAAGACTTACCATTAGGTAAACAGTCTACTCGTTTGCCGACCTTTAACATATAAATAATTGTTACCATATTCTAGCTAGTTGATTGAATACCAAAGACGTGAAAATTAAACTTAGTAACATTCTATTAGATAGACCAGTTGCTTATCCTGCCAACGTTACGGAATTATGAAAATCAAAAAGAAACATTAACAGTTCACTGAGCCCACGAAACATTGCACAAGCAGTAAACATTGACACAAGGTAAAAGTGCTACAAAGGAGCCAGATAAAACAAATAAAAATATCAGAAAGACATGTGCAACGTTCATAGGTACGAAAGCCCAAAGTGCCTGTCTAAACTGCAGTTTATTTTCGTATCGCCCTTTTAACTTTAAAAGTGAAGTTGGTTTCTGAATCTTCAATGTGGTTAACAAAAATAAACTTAAAGCCAAGGCATCAAAGACTAGTTAAGAGGCTCAAAACAATATGTGGATTTGTGATATGTTTTTCAAGCGTAGCTTTATTTGAAGTATGGTATAAACGAAAGGTGCTGAGAGGGTAATAAATAGCTTTGAAATGACGTTCTTTTTTCTACTTCTTTAATTGTTAAAACGTTACCGTTATCCCTCATAGTATTGTTGAACACAGATGTTTAAGAGAAGGGTGCTCTACAGTCGCAATCAGGCTGACAATTATGAGGTACTTATTAGTTTAGCAGTTAATAGTACCTACTGTTAGTCTCTTAGCGGATCAAACTTTTACGGGTTGCATTTCCGAATTCATTCAATCCGACAAAAATTTATATCTAGCTCCAAAACCATAAGCAAAATGGAAACTTAAAAACATTGAAACAAATAGTACTTAAACCCAAATTCACATCTTAAGCATTTCTTCGTATTTTCAACGCTACAAAGCAGACGGTCTTAATCCAGGGATTGGCCCACTGCACCATTTCATCACGAAACTTCGCTGCAGAGAAAGAGTTACAAAATTAATTGCAGCAAAACTAGGTCAAGATGTATAACCTACGTACCTACTATTTGAATTCAAATATGGCCCTATACCTTTCATGGCTAACAATATTGATTGGACGGAAGACACGTGTTGTCGCTACCATTTAAGCACACAAGCTACTTATGAACCAGGTGTCCAAATTTTTTTATTACAGTAGTTTCCTATTGGTTCTTTCAAAGGTCCCTATAGTAACTGTATGAAGTTACATAGTAACATTACGTTAAGGTAATTTTTATTGTAAAAGTGCTGTTATAACTTTATGACCATGTGTTTTTTTTTGTCATCATCGTTATCAACCTACGGTTATTGCTTAGCTGTAAACGTTACCTTATATTTATGTAGAAATATCCAACTATAAACATTTAAGTATTTTTAATACTCTATACATCTTTATTGGTATAGTTAGTCTTTTAAGAGTGGGTCGACTCGACCGGAGTGATACCACGGCCTCACAGAAAACGGTCATGAAACAACCACAGCGTTGTGTTTTGCCGTGTGAGTGAGGTTACCGGAGGCCCAATCCTTCCCTTCCACCAATTCCTCCACAATCCCAAAATCTCCAAATCCCTAATCTGATATATGATATATATCTCGGAAAATTCACAATAGTTGCCAATATAGTTAATTACTTTCCAGCTTTTCACCCCGATGAGCGGACCAAAGGTTACATTAAATTCCATATAAAGATCTAAATTCTCTGTGCTAAGTCAGTCTTTGTTTTCTTACATGCATACCAACAATATGTGCAGACTATGTTATGAAACTGCCTATTTAATAAAAGCGCCCAGTATGGGTTTGGTTCAATAAACTTTCTTGATAAATGTTACTAAAAACAGGGACCTATACTATTCTTGTCGCATAAAACCTACATAGAAAGGCCACCTTTTTGCATCTACTTATCTTTTTATAGCCGTTGTTCCCGACCTTGGCCCGTTCACCCGGTCCCTCTCCCTACTGCAACCTTTCCAGCGTTCAGCCAACCGTGCAGTCGCTTCCTCAACAACCATTATTTACAAAACCTTCAAACTCATTAAAAACATCTTTGTCAAAGGTCCAATTAAATTGGTCGTGAACTACAACGATTAGGTGCGGTGTACCTAAGTAACTGAAATAGCACATCGTGTTTTGATAGCAAACGTTTCGGTTGTGTGTTGTGCATAGATGGTTTTGTTTTGATTAGTTTCGTGTGTAGTGGGATGAAAGGCGCAGTGTATGTTGAACAAAGAACTATTGTGTGTATTTGTGATAGTTCTAATGACTTGTCTGAAGAGCCTACCTTTGGATCGTAAAGGCCAATTCAATTAAATTTTATGTCAAGTGAGTTACTTGAGTATTGAGTATAATGAAAGTCTGGTCTTTAAAGATACCTTGACCTTTCATTTTGTTCCTTTTCTTTGCAGATATGAATATTACTACCATCTTAATATAGTCGCATTATACAATTTAGTTCTTACAAAGTATTATTGCTATCAGCTAGCAGTAGTTTTGAACGAGGTTTAAATTAATTTTTATTATGACGGTATAATCAATCATAATTTTAATTTATTTTCGTACTACCGAAATATTTTACTCAATATGCCATCGCTATACTTAACGAAATTACGAAACGAACGCTTGTTTTCGTAAAAAAAACCGCTCTTTTATTTCCTTTTAAAATTGAAAACGAAAAAATAATATTATATCATTTTTTATTAAGCACTATTTAAAGTTACTTCAAATTAAAATAAATACCACTTGTAAAAGAATAAAAAACAAAATGTAGTGAAATGTATATATATATATTATTCCTTTATTTGTACTGACTCCGTGAAACCCTTTGAGGTAAACAGTTGTAATATTATGAAAAGGTGTATGTTTCATTTATCTTTTTTCTTTCTTTTCAGATCCGCAGATGAAAAGATGACGAGGAAGTTTCTTTTCTGTTTCCCTTTAAGGGTGGGGAATATTATATTTGGATATATTGTGATAGTAAGTATTGCGTAACCATATTGTACATTATTTACTTTGTGCGACACGCGCCGTATTACTGACGAGGATTTGCAGAAAAGTATTTTTTGTGATAAAAATGTTATATCATATTGTACATGGGATTCCATTCAAAATTGGATTCATAACTTATTTCTGAGTATATAATATTTAGTTTAATAAAGTTTGGGTACCGTTAAGCTGTTTCGAGTTAAACTAATCTGCATGTTTCGGGTTGCTTTTTCATAAGTCCCAACTTCTACTTGTATAGTTCATAGTAGTTACTTTTATGATATTTAAACGAACAAAATGTGAACCGCGATCTTGCCGAAAGAACCTGCTGGATTGCGGATCAAGCGCAAAAAAGTACTGCAGCCTCAGCCAGGAGCAGGAGAAGAAATGAGGTGGTTTTTAGTCAGTAATAGTCTGACACTCTCTCTCTCTCTCTCGCCCCACTCATAGCAGTAGAAGACACATGATATGTTGCCCCCTCAAGACAATAAAACTAAGCCTACCATTTGAAAGTCATAAGATTTGAATCCCCTTGTTTCAATTGATAAAGGAAGCTCACATTCGAACAGCGCCTGACGTAAATATGCAAATCGAAATTGTGTAACGTCGCGTCGCGTCACGTAGCTTTACATTCGTGTTGTTGCTCTGCGACTTTGCTTAAATTATTCTATCAGGCGTTCACCACAAGTACTTGTAGTTTGGAATTAGTCTAAGTGCTTTTTAGATCTTTGTATATGTTTTCTCTTGCAACGTATCTCTTTTGACTCTGTTTCACGTTACGTTATAGCTACAAGCTAAAATTTGCATGTTTAGTCCTGACAATGAACAAGATTGGAATTGATGATGACTGCACGGTTGGTGCGGTGGCTGAGCAACTGGCTGCCGTGGTGGCAACGTGTCGCGGGTTCGATTCCCGTACGAAATACTCTTTGTGTGATCCACAAATTGTTGTTCCGGGTCTGGGTGTCATGTGCATGTGAAATTGTATGTTTGTAACCGCACACACGGCACAGGAGAAAATCCTAATGTGGGGCAACGTTTTTTTAAGAAAGAAAGAAAAAGAAAGAAAGATGTATCTAATAATCGCGTGAAGATTACACTTTTACAATACCTGCTACAAAAACAAAACACTACAAGAATTTCACTTTTACAATGATTGTACTAAAATAAAACTTATCTTTATTCCAGCTTATAGCAATAGCGACAGTGGCCTTCCATTTATACCAGCTTGGCTTGAACATGACCAACAACTATTTCGAGAAGGATGGAAAGTTTCGAAACTTCGAGAATCTTGAGAGCATATTTGGATCCACAAAGGACTCGCTGGAGAGGATAATCGTCCTTACATATTACCTCACGTATATTACGATAGGAATTATGCTCTTCCTATTTGCTATTATGTTTACCGCAGGCGCTTATAAGGTAAGAAATCATATTACTGATACCGTTATTATTGTGTCAGCAACAAAAGAGCCTATGTCCTAAAATTATTCAGTTGAATGAATTCACGTACAATATCTTTTCACTAGAAAGATACCTAATGATTCGACCGTGAAAGAATTGAATGTGATCAGAATCAGTGAGCAGATTAAGATTGATATAATTAAGATTGAGATATCGCACATAAAATGGAGTTTAATAACAAATAATTTATATGACCTGTCAAGAGCACATAATACGGTAGTTTCCAACTAGTCAAATTCAATACTTTTATCGAAATGTCAAAAACGATACTTTTCTATGAAATTTGTATGAAAAACTGAGGTATGACGTCATAGTAATTTTGCGTCAAATAGCTTACTTATTTCTTAATAATTAGCTACAAAATATCTAAAACTTAGTGCATCGATCGATCGATGAATAAAAGTATAGTTATTTTTAAATATTTTATTGTATTGAAACGTCGAATTAATTTATTTTTGACCTAGGAAACTACCCAATTGTCTTAATAACACTACGTTGTTTACCTTAATTGGCAAGCAGTTTTGTGTTTATTGTGGCTTTTAGAACTATACAACTCATTTTGAGACTACGGTTGTTTTAACAATGAATAAAACAATGTCCGAACTTTGAATGTACTATTTATTTATGTATTTTAATACTTCGCTTCCCGTAACTTCCTGTGTTGCTGCATACTACGTACATCTCTTTACTATTAAAAGGATGACTGGCAGAAAAAGTTTTTGCATTAAGCTCTCCGATATGCAACTGTATATACAGAATAAATACCTATGTATATCAAGAATTTTCTTTTAAGTAGTAGTCTAAAACATGTTTTAAGCGTTACTTGGGTTTACAAGTTACTCATATTAAACACACCAATATTCTCAACTTAGATAATATAGTTTATAATATGTAAGTACTAGCTGACCCGGCAAACTTTGCACAACCTCAAATATAAATATTTTATTTAAGTCAAATTTTCTGACCTTTTAAACCTTCTCTGTATATACAGAATTATTTCAAGACCACAATAGCCATGTCGGTCCAGCCTAACTAAGAGCATATTAATATATAAGATAATTTTACAAAACGAGAAATCAAAATATCTTTGCACCAATTTTACCAACTACAGCGAGTATAAACAAAGATGGGGACAATACTTTTCCATCCCGATACAATCGTTTTACTTAAAAGGAGAAACAAAGTAACAGTTTAATGTAACCGTTGAGATGGTATCGATATTTATTCAAGATTAATTCAGATAAAATTGTGTCGAACTGAAAAAGCGTATCGAGTGAGCCGGTATAAAAATCTTTGTGATTTTATAAGCTTGCTGCCGAGTTATTGTTTATGCAATATTGTATAAGGTTTGCGTTATTTTGCGCTTGTTTTTTTTATTCTGACAATGCATTTCGCCCCTCTTAAGGGGTCAGAAAAAATGTTTAATTTTCCTCCTCAAAAAACACTTAATAAACGGAGTAGTAAGTAATTCAAAGAAATTATTCAGTCTTGATTACATTTATATATTTTTAGCATAGGCATTCACCTATGCTAAAAATAAGACAAACGAGCAATTAGATTAACTCACGATTAACTAATGGTAAACAATCGGCACTCAAAAGAGTGGGCCTCCAGTAACCTCACTCACATGGCGGTTGGTTTTCTGTGAGGCCGTGGTATCACTCTTAGACATTGTTTCATTTTCATTATTAAAGACTAACAATCGTATTGGATGGTCTAATGCTAATCGATATAGAAAACTTTATTCGAATCATAATATTCACAATCGTCATTGCAATACTGCGCTCGGCTTGTGACGTAAATCTATTCAATTTTTTTTTGTATCGTGACGCGATGCACAGATACGATATCATTCAGCCAACAACGTCAATAGATGCACGCTGATAGTTACGTAGTACCTTCATATAGGGATCAATATTATTTAAAAATAAGTACTTACCAGCTGAGAAAATCGTATGTCTTAATACCATTGCGTTAAATCTTCATGTAATTTGTCGTGATTAGATCAGGTTCATTTTTTTTTAATACGATGGGAGTGTTCAACCTTTTAACGAACTCTCGATTGAACTTACATAACCTCATCGATAAATTAAATAATTCAACATCACAAACAAATTAAATAATTATACCAACAAATTGAAGTAAATTAAAATCCACAAGATTAGTTTTCACAGATTTTCTACTATTAACTTTTGATCAAATACTTTCGTTCGAGATTGGTGTTACGAAACATGCCAAATCGAAGTTGTTTATGCTTTTGTAATTCGAATGGAAAGAAGGAAGAGAAATCAATCGAATAAAATGGCGCCAATTTTTTTCTATTCAGATTATTGACGTGTTACTCAGCTTAGATATGACGGTTTTTGATCGAAATCATTATTTAAAATCATTTTGAAGATTTTTTATTTAATTTTATATTTCTTATCTGAACCCACATAGATTATGAATTATTATTAGTTATTTCTGGAAACTTCTGGGTTTTCACGATCTCGACATTTGATTTGAGATATATATTTGGCTTGAAATAGCAGTAAGGCGATTAACTTTTTAAAGGATGCAGCCTGCGATTCCTTGGCCAGTCGCAGTTTTAAAATATACTCTTGCACTGGCAGTCAAGAATAATAAAATATTTCTTTGTTTCTCTCTGCTTCAGAAAAAGCTGGAAGTAAATGAATCCGTCTTTGTACATAGTTCTGCATAATGCTTGTAGTTTTACAAGCTACATCGAGAATAGTACGGAATAGTAGTTTGTAGAACTTTGTAAGTCTTGCTAGAGAACAGCACAACCAACAAGAATTCACCATGCGGTATTTGACTAATAGTCAAGTTCTATACTTTTATCGAAATGTATTTTGGATACAATGGATTTTGTATTGTACACCGACTTATGACGTCATCGAGTTTTTAGATCAAATGCCTACATTACTTTTTTTTTTTTAAATAGATACAATAATTCAAAAATAGAACATTTGTCCAATTAATGAATGGAATATTATTATTAATATTTAAATTCTATACTTGAATATTTTATTATATTTAAATCTCGAAATAATTTAATTTTGACTGAGGTAAATTTCCGATTTGATAATACAAATTTAACTTTATTCAAAAACGTTATCTAAGGTTTAAAATATTATTATGATTTAATTTGACAGTTTGAGAATTCTTGTAGTGCTGGTCTGTTCCTTTTACAAAGTTGTCCTTTAACGTTGAGTCGAGTTAATTAAAACACGATACTACTTTTAACGGCTTGGACTAAAACTTTAAGACGATGTTTTTGTACGTATAGAGCATTTTAATAATGTACCATTGTTTATATTTATTTTTATTTATTTACCTACCAATATAAATTTATCCAAAACCTACCTACCCAATGTACAATAAAAAAATTTTTTTTTTACTTTTTCCAGAAACTAGCTTGTTAGTCCGACTAAGTTCAATCCTTGCTCAGATTAAGTATGTTTTTAATTTTTCGATCGTGTATATAGGAATAGATACAAAACAAAATTATGACAATTATGAGTGTGGAAGAGGCATGCATAAACTAATTCAACTAGAGTGATACCACGACTTCACAGCATACTGGTCGTAGCGCTTATGTTGTGTTTCGCCTTGTGTGTAAAGGCCCAATCATATCTCCTTCGTTGTCCATACTCAATCCCCAAATTCTAAATCCTTAAATCCCTAAAGTGTAAAAAAGTGTTTCGTGAAACAACCACAGCGTTGTGTTTCGCCGTGTGATTGAGGTTACCGGAGGACCAATCGTTCCCCACCCCCAATCCCTCCTCAATCCCTAAATCTCCAAATCCCTAATCCCTAATCCCTAAAAGATCGGCAACGCACTCGTAACTCCTCTGTTGCGGGTGTCCATGGGCGGCGCTGATTGCTTACCATCAGGTAATCCGTCTGCTCGTATGCCGATCTATTACATAGAAAAAAAAGCCGACAAAATAGCTGTATTCTCCTGTTGTTACAGGCATCAGATGACTGCTTAAAATCATGTGTGTTATTTGCTCTTTTGCCCCAATTCCATACAACCTTTTTTTAGCCTTACTTACTTTTTGTAGCTTTACTAGTACTTACGTAAACTGATATACCTATGCACCCACACACCAAATAACTACATGTAGGTAAGTAAGTAATAGTTTATGTCTAACTTTTTAATGTATTTTTACAGGCGAACCACTGTTTAGTGACAACGTTCTTCGTGTACAGTTTCTTCCATCTCTTCTTCTCCGTAATCTTGATTGTATGGGAAGCCCTGACTGCTGGCTGGATACAACTGGGTTTAGTCGCCCTGTTTGATTGTGAGTATATTGTATATAGCCGTTTTATTATCAACTAGCTACTAAATTCTACGCGGTTTTAAGAACTGGCCGGTTTTTATTGGTCGTACCATAATGTTTTTAAGCCTATTTACAATCGACATGCCGAAAATCTCACAGTACTTGAAGACCAGGATGTTTATACAGTATGTGTTGCCATGTCTTCTACGATACTTAGACGTGGCCACCAACTTCTGGCATTCTCTTGACCAGGGTGAGGCGAGAGAGTGTCAGACTCTTACTGACTAAAAACCACATTCCTTCTCCTGCTCTAAGCCGCGGCCCCAATACCTTATGCGCTTGTTGACTCCGCTCCCACAACCCCGATGGAGGGGCTATCGGGGTTGTGGGACAACTACCTACTGTCTGTGTATATAAAGTTTGTATGATTATAAAAGCACACACAACTCATGACAAGCAGTCTAGTCAGCTCTCAGTAAGTCGGAGCCAATGTTCCAAAAAAAAGTCAATCAATAATTTAAATTGGTAATATTCTATTGAAATTATTGTAACAAATAGGTCAAATTAGGTCCTCCGAATGAAGTCGCAAAAAAATGACGTCAATTTTTCATCCATTTTATTCGAGATGAAATTCGTAGGGTCATCTGACGCATATAAATAACAGTTGCTAATTTATTCAATTAAATGACATTGGCGTCCAGTAACGATTTTGCCCTCCATCAATTAGCGTTAGTAGGTAATTGATATATGGTTATAGGATTCAATTATTTTATTATAGAACTCCGATTAGGAATGGAAGTGTACTTTTCAAGGCCGTTAATATCAGTATCCAACGATGATAAATTTAGTTCTATTTTCTTTAATCTCTCGTCATCTACTGTTGTATGACTATTTAATAAGAAAATTTAGGTTAGATGTAAAAAAAAATTTTTGTCTATCCAGACTATAAAACCTTTCATTCATCAATCTCATCATCAGTATATTTGTGCCCACTGATGAGCAAAGGCCTCTTCACTTTTTTCTCACATGGAGAAGCAATAGACATTAATCACCAAGCCTGCTCAGTGCAGATGGGTAATTTCAATTGTTTTATTAGAAATTATAAATCGAGATGTAGGTACCTACGAGGTTGTACCTTCACTGTATGTCAATGACCGAGCGTACGGCGCATTCAGTTCGGCGCGCGCATCATAGAGCCAATAGACCACCATAGACAGGGTATAGGGCTGGTGTTCAGCCGGGGTTGAGGGGTAAGCGAAATAAGCCACCGCGGCCTCGGCCTAGAGCTGGTGAAGGAACGGGGAGGTTTTTAAACAGTAAGAGTCTGACACTAGGCGGGTGAAGTAGTTTCATGATTTTCCCCTGACAAAAAAAAAACCGTATGTCAATGATGTCTAAACAACCTTAAAAAGTACATATAATTGGAACTCAATTCGGAGACTTAAATGGTGGAACAGATCATAAACAATATATCTTCCGATTATCCGATAATGTATCATAATGTTAGTACATTAGAATTTCGATAAAGTGCAAAAAGTTCTAAAAGATCAACCATAACTTGATTGTAACAAATCTTCATTATATAAAAACTCTTTTCAGCAGCACCTACTTACAATCGTAGTGGCATTAGACAGGTACTCCTTTTAGATGCAATTCTCAAATCCAATAAAAATTCATTTCCTACCCGATCGGATTTGAAAATTTCCAATAGCTGTGAAATGAATGGGCTTTACCTTCAGTTTTTCTTATTATAATATCATAACGAACCTGGTATTAAGTACCTTTCTACGTCTGTGAAATGGATTTAACTATTTAATATTAAATCGATGTTGACTGCGTTTCCGATTATTATCAATATGTACTGCTTTATATATACATTTGTAACGAAAGACATCTCTTTAAAAATTGTGTTTATATAAAACTTTTTTCGACAGCCGTTATGTCATTAGCGATTTCTCTTGCCCTGTGTTGTGTTAGAGGGAGTATCAGACTGTTACTGACTAAAAGCTATCCTATTCCTTCTCCTGCTCCTGGATGAGGTCGCGGTACATTTTTTTGCTTGCACCGCAACCGGAGCACAAAAGGAACGGGGTGGTTTTGAGTCAGTAAGAGTCTGACACTTCTCTCGGCTCGCCCAAGCGTTATTAGACGATTTTATTATAAAAAAAACCCGTAGTACAGTCTTTAGGTACTACATCTATTATTATTTGGTGAAAAAAATTGAAGTAAAGTCACAGATCGGTTTGGACGTATAGTTCTACTTGACTGTTTATTAAAAATTATACTCGCACTCGATACTTTTATTATATAATGTAACTAGAAAAAAGATTCATGTTAAACGTGTAACGAATCATTTAACTGTTATAGAGTAGCATGGATAGTTAACCCTATTCACTTCCTTGGGTATAAACTGCCGGATACACCTCATGCGGTAATAAAGTTAATTGTTCATTCGATGCAGGTGAACAACGTGTAGAGAATAAAATTATCAAGCTTCCAAGTCATGAGGTGTTTCAAATAATTTTGAGATATAGGTAAAATAAGATAAAGTTTGTTTCACAATGACTGGATAAGCGCGAGATATAAAATGTAATCGGTGTGAACTTGTGCCACATCAGTTTATCGGGTACTTATATACTTAAAGGAAATGAAATAGGTCATATTAGGATCTCAATCAATTCTGCACAGTTGGCGTAGTAGTTGGGCAACTGGCTGCCATGCAGCGTGTCGCGGGTACGATTCCCGCTCGAATTGAAAACCACGCGGTATAAATATTAATAAATTTATAATATTAATTATTCATATTAATAAATAATTAAGTCATATTTTCTCTCAACAGTAATTGAGTAAGAAAAATTTTATTCCTCAAAGAGTGCGCCACAACTGTAACACTATTCCCAAGAATAATTGAGAATTTTGCTAAATTTAAGCTGACCACCACACTTAAAGTCATTCAATGGTAACTTATCCAGTCCAGTAATTTTTCTTTTGATACAAAATTGATTAGTTCAAGTTATCAACAGCAAATATAGCATCATATTTCCAAAATGCTGCAGTATTTGGTCTAGCTTGAGATTGGATCTATAAAGCTGGTGTTCATCAAAGGCACTTGCAGTCAACAGGAATAATGACTATTTATATTTTAATGTTCATTATAGCTTTTATAGATTAATTCTATTCTTCCTTCTTAAGTACAATTGTTAAATTGATTTGCCTTATCGTGTGACGTCACAACTCAGTCTTATACTGAGCGTTGATAGCGAGCGTTCATTCCTAAACTGGGATTGCAGTTGAAAAAGTTCTAACTTATCAAAGCGCTGCTGCCCGTACTCGAGCAGTCAATTAACTTAATGAATTATTCTATTTGTTCCAGTGCTCCTCATAGTTTGCCTGTTCAGCGTCAAATATTTGATGGAAGCAATCCGAACAGGGAACATCTACTGCCGGCCAGGAGAAGTTTACTACAAATATTAATTTATGACTAAACTAAGATCCAATATTCCTTGAACAAGTCACAAGTGCATTGCAGTAAATGTAAGAAGAATTTGTAGATTTGTTATTCGATTTTTATACTTATTACAGATCTGAATAAGTACTTACTCATTGCTTAGCTCGACAGATCAATGACATTGCAAAATTTAGGATAAGTTTTTGTAATTTATTCTGTTTTGTCAACTTAATAAATTAGTAGTAGTATTAAGCTGTCCTTTATAATTCAGTTAAAAGCATAAATATTAAAACAATGTTTTTTTTAATAAAAAATATTAGACTTTTTTCAACAAGCGACCTGTTAAAACGTAAATGTCAGTAGTTAGCTCAATTCTCCTTTTAAACTTATTATGTATGTGTCAAAATTTATTATTTAGGTAATACGCTATTAAATATATCCTAACTGTACAGGTACCGTTAGTTACACGAAAGTAAACCGTCTCATTTGAAGCCATACTTGGAAGTTAAATTTGTACGTATCAATCTATGTCATCTTATCACAATTTGCAATCTAGATTAAAAATATAAATAAAACTTCTCTGCATTGATGTTAATTTGGAGTATAGTATGGGTGATCTTTAAGACCGGCTATGTTATTAGTGTCTTCAGAAAATACTGTTTTGAAAAAAATATAATTAAACAATTATTATGGATTTCCTATAAAATTAAGAGTACTTACCATCTTAACTTTATTTTAAGAACCTAATGAAGTAAGAAATGTGTACAAGACCAATTTAAAAAAATAAAGTAATATTAAACCATTCGTTACTTACATAGCAGTTTTGAAGGCACTGATTTCTCTATAAGGAACCTAAAATAAAAAGTTATGAATAATTTTCAAGTCAAAAACACATTTTATTTATTAAATACAAAAACACAACACAATAAATCACAACAGTCTTACATAATCTAATTGAGATATTTATGTAAAAATATGTTTTACAAAAACAGGTTTAACAATCATACCCAATACTAAAGCTCAAAACATTCCAATATCACAAATTCATCAATCAATCAACCCATCAATCAATCAAAATAAATTATTTAATAAATAGTCAATAAATAATGTTACGTAACTAAAAAAAAATCTATCGATATTTATATAACAATAAATTGTCTAATTGAGAATCTGCTGGTGTTCTATTTATTTCTCTTCTCCTCCGTTTCCCTAACATCATGGGGACTACCATGGCCATGGTGGCTGGTACCATGCCTGCGCCTACAGCTGCTAACAACGTCGAGCTGTCTGGAGATACGTTCGACACAATCTTCCTCTTCACAAGCCTATTCTTATTCACAACCGGCCTAAACTGTGTCGTAGCAACCTCTAAGTCATTTTTCTTATCCATATCCCTCTTTGATTCTTCAACGGTTTGGAAACTCTTTTCTACCTCCAACATACCTCCATGTGACGTTGTCATATTTGTACGAGCTTTATCCACTGGTAATACGGTCAACGCTACAGCTTGGTGTGATGTCATAGTTGATACATCAGCACGATCATCAGCTGGTGGATTTAAAGATCTTTGACGCTTCTTATTTCGGTATCCTTTCGTAGTTGATAACAATACCCACTGGCCGTCACCGTGTGGTGGCCTAGAAACGCGATCGTTTTCATACTCAGGACCTCCAGCATACACTACCTGAGTAGGACGCCTGAAAGGACGCTTCTGCGATGAACTCAACGATTGATGTAGAGCCTCATATTCATAGGGAAAGTTCACTGGCCGCTGATCTGTTACTACAGAATCGGACATACCGTAATACACTGAATCGTCATCGGAATAATTTTCATGTTTATCACAATTTGGCTTGTGAGGGCGTCTTCCTTCGTCGGGAGCCCAGGATGACGGGTAACTTGCTTGTTGAGGCTTAGTCCAAGATGGTTTTGATGGTATTTCCTGTTCAAAGTCCGGAGGTAAGTGCAATTTGTTATTCATATAACTAGGTCGACTCGAAGATGGCTTCTTATGTGGCATATAGTTGTAATTACTCCCAGAATCTTGACTGGATGTAAATCTGTCATCATTGTGGAATCTATCATCACTAGGAAACCGGTCGTCGTCATTAGAAAACCTATCATCATTATGGAATCTGTCGTCACTTGGAAATCTGTCATTACTGGGAAATCTGTTTTCGTCGTCATTCCAGTGACTTGGTTTCTGTTTTTTAATGTTAGGTTTCCATTTAGATATTTTACTGGTAGACCACGCGACAGGCTCCAATGTTACCCAGCCATCTTTATCGTCAAAAGGATGTTTATGTTGTTTGACTTTTAACCGATTCCATGTAGTGTATACTTTGCCATTCCCATCATCTTCATTTTTGTCACTGTTCATTGAAGAAAATCGATCTGCTTTCATTTTGTCCTTTTTAAGCTTGGCAGCTAGAGCAGATATTGCTTGTAGTCGATCCTGGGGTAAATCACCATAATCTTTCAGTTTTTCTGCTGTTAATATGTAGTCATCTAATGCATCCTCTTCCTCACTGTTGAAACCATCTTGACAAGAAGGTCCGTAACACCGTGGGCGATTTTCATCAAAGTCGTGAACTATATGGGTCATAAGATTTTTTATTTCAGCATCATCCTTGTCTTTACGCTCAAAATTTACATCTTCCCATTTATCATCCGGGTTTGTGGAGTCTTGTGCTTTTTCTATAATAGTGATCGGATCCTTTCCTGGCACTTCCAGTTGATATGTTTTAATTTTTCTGTCATATTTCTCTAACTGCGTCGGGTCATCAGAGTTCGCAAGCGCAAGGGCAAATACGCAAAAAACAAATAGTTGCACTGTTATTTTCATCGTGTTTATTTTCACTTTCGTCGGTTCGCGTGTCGGCGCGCGGGCAAGGCGCGCTAGTACTGAGCGCTAGCGACCGCCGCAGCCCACTGATATAGTTTTGATTGTGGATGCACACTAACCCTCCCTGCGCTCTAATGCAATGCTGATTCAGTTCGGTCACGACGAATGAGCGAGATAATTATGTGGCGATTGTCGTTTGCCGGCGACTATCTTAATTGACTATCGCGACTCTCAGGGCCGTGACCCGAGCACGGGTGAAACCGTTTTTCATTTTATGGGATATTTTCTCCAGGGATAATAGGAAAGTTTCGCGGTTCACACACGACTCGGTGAAATTATGATTCAAATCTCAACGCAAATCGACGACAAAGACATGCAGGCCTACGTTTCTATGCACAATCTCGTAATCTCTATTCTTGCTTGAAAAGTAAAATTATTGCTGTATAGCATAGCACGTACATTATGTATACATCAATGATTTTAATGATAATAAACAATAATAATTCATTCAATGGTCTATAATCATATTAGCATTTAATTAGACACTGTTAACCTTATGATGCATGATGAAGATGGAGACAACGATAAATGAACGCTATTTAACTTTAGTCACAAACTTTCTATACCAAATGAATCAGCAAAACAAAGAGACAAGGAGTTAATAAGCTCATGACGCAACAATACAGAAGCTGGGAAAAAAATTGTTTACTAGTTGAAAACATTCACTTATGTAATGAACAAAGTCACTGATGCTGTAACCGATACGTATTCAATGTCAGGTATGTATAACAAAGGGAGCTGATCTACAGTATTGATAGGCATGCTTTGTGACATAACCGACACTTTCAAAACAAGACTGTAAATTGACCTAAAACATGTGACACGAGCTCTCATAATCTATTTTCTTGGCAACATGTCTGCTCTCTCCATAATAACAAGCCCACTTATTATTGGTATCATGATGCTGATCAACTTCGCTCTAATTGTACCCTATACTTTTACCAGGCGGTCTTGCTCCTTAGTGAGCAGCACGTGGACTGATATTAAATGTTCTTGGTCTCGTATTTTCTCTCTTATTCGTGTTATTGTTTAGAGGCAATTTAGAACAAATTAAGAGCAATATCCGGATGCCTTTCTGTATATCTCTTATTGAGTTTATTGAGGACAATTTCGATTTGTTTTCTAATGGTTTTTTTGTTGTGTGTTTTCTGTAGCTATTATATTTGTCTTGTTGGTTGAAATGTGTGGAAATTTCGATCTGTCTTCGTTTTTGGTTTGCAATTAAGAGTAAAAAGTTTTTTTGAATTGTCTCAGAAGAGCCTAACGCTTGATACTTGTCTATCGTACATACGTTGTATATTTTTTTGTTCCCAACTTTACATTCTTGAGGTCGTTGACATTAACACCAAAAAAATAATTATTCTAAACAAAAAACATGACAAGTCACTCAGCAATCATCATCACAATTGTGATAATGATGATGGTTTTGATATAACAGCGTTTGCAAATGTTTCGCGTTAGTTTTGGACCGCTGCTTATGCAACAAAAATTTAGTAGAGAAAGGAAACTATAGTTATACTTAGAAGCTATTAGAAAATTCTTTGTAAATAGCCGTAATACGTTATGGTTTATATGAAAAAGTTTACACGCGATTAAAGATAATTACTATTAATGGGTCAATGTGCTGTAATTGCGCTTTTTATCATCTCGCTTGATCTGCTTCATTAAAACCAATGCTATAATTTATTTTAAGAAATGATATGAGATGAATATTGAGGTTAATATAAACGAAGGAAAATAATTTAGAAATCTTACATCTTAATGCGTAAGTACTTTCCGGAATTCAAGATTGGTAACTATTAGACCTTTTTCTAAGTTTTCAACGCTGTCACAATTCGAGCTAGCTTACGACGGTCGAAATTAAGATAAAGATAATTTAGCTTCTTCCAATAATTCTGGTAGTAAATGAGCCCAGAAATCAATAATGATTTGGACCCTTTTAAAAACCGAAAGCATTCGCTGAGCTGATTTCATGTAATGCAAACAAGAGAACAGTTTTCCTAGCAAAAAAATATAATATTATATATCATTCATAGCTTTTACCCTAAGGGCTTAGAATCTCAACTCCAGTGCATACAATAACACGTTAAATAATAACTATTTAGAAAATTTCTAAGAATTGCGCTGTAGAAAGCATAAAAGAAGTGGCTAGCGTTAAATAAGATGGCAGGAGTGTTGGCCACTACCGTGA